CACACACACACACACACACACACACACAAATATAAAATATAATATAAAATACACAAACACAAGCTTTTAAGTTTTTCATGTTAGAAGTTGAGTTGGTAATAACACCTGGTTGCAATTCTAAAATTTTGAAATTAAAATTGGAAATGTGTTGAATGAAAAATGTGTGATTCAAGTTCGAGGATCTTGAATGAGGCTCCAGCCACTTAGGGGAGGAGTGCGTGTGAAAATTGATGCCTGGCTTTGAACGATTTCTTAGTTTGTAGATGTCTCACTTCTTAGAAATTTGACTTTATCCAGAATATCATAATTTTTGAGTTATCAAGCTTTTTCCTAATGCTATGACTTTTATCTGATGGATTGATAATGTTGCTACACACTCAGTTTGAGATAATGTTAGAGGGAATAGGTCTAAATATATGGCCGCAAATTTCTCACAGGCTCTCTTCTTTGTTTTGACAGCGGGGTAGTTTGACGGCCGCACAAGGTTATCTTTAGTCCCATGACCTGTTATGTCTCGTCACGACATTTGTTAATTGTAGCACGCCAGAAAGCCAGTGGGGGGGAGTCATGTATAAGCAGTGATTAGTAATTGTAGCTTTATGTCATCAGTAAGTTGATGGCTTTTGAATATAATCCTGACTTATACAGGAGTCCTCCTCTGGCTGCCATGCATGAGGCTGGGTGTTTACTTAACAGTCGTAGAGACATTTTCAGAGAATTTTAATTGAAGCGAGTTGCCCACACTTGTCATGGATGTCTGACTGAGGTGGGAAGTACATAGAGTACTGAATCCTACCAAGTCATTCCAACTAAATTCATGAAAATCTGGCATGCTAACTGACTGTATACAATGGGGATTTAGGTTTCCCTGAGGGCCTTAATTGTGCTGTAAGTTATCAACCTGGTATCCTAGTTGTATTTTCTTGCCAGCTAAGGCAAGCCATTTTCTATGTCAATGGCAAGTGTGTTGCGACCTTTCAATTAATATGTGGTGGCAGGCGGCAAGACGAAGATGAAGAAAAAGAAGGTACCTGGAGCTAAAAATCTCAAGATTCGACGATATGTGCAGCCCAAAAACGCTGTCATGTGCCTCAATGAGTTACGACCAGGTGTGGCTTATACAACTGAACAGGAAGGAGGAGTTGGCCAGCCATTCTGTATCTCTGTGGAAATCACTAATGGGGTAGGTTGAAGTTATCTTGAATCATGCTGCATGTAAAAATTGATTAGAAAAACAGCAAATTTCCTTGCTTCTGTATATTATCCTGAGGTTCTTTATACGAACGTGTGAAAAAGCAATTAAGTTTTTAAGTCCTTTTCTTTTTCTCAATTAAGCTGCAAAATTTATGTATATGCAACCAAACAATGCACGTGGATTGAAAAGGAATACATTTTTTCTAACTAGTACTAAAGTTTTCAACTTGCTTTGGCTGAGTGGGGTTAATTGTGGGGGTCAGTCATACTTTGTATAATAATGTACACTAAGGAAACGTACAATAGACTATGTATGATAAATGAGGAATTTGACGATTTGAATGCTATTCTAAAAACAATTGGTTCGGTGAAAATTTTAGTTAATTTTAACATTTGTTTTTACTTATGCCTTATAGTATGTGAAATTTTAAAGCGCATATTAAATGAATATTTATTTATATGCGATTTGTATTTGTGCTTTTTTATTTGTAAGGTTATTAATAGCAAAGAACTATGTAAATGTATATATTTATTTTAAAACATTATCAGAACTTGAATATAAATCCTAAAATACTTTTGACTAACGGTATTTTGCATTATGACAGAATGAGACGCAGAAGTATCGTGGATTTGGTTCATCCAAGCAACTAGCTAAGCAGGCTGCAGCAGAAGCAGCGCTCATAAGTTTTGTAAAACCACCAGTAAATTCCAACCCTTCAGAAGGCCCAGAGGAGGACAAGACTCCATGGGCAACACTTGCATCTTTTGCCATCTACAAGCTTTTCAATGATTGGCGTGAAGGTCGAGTGGGCATGTGTCCCCCTCCAGCCCAGCCATATGGCGCTGCCCTGCCACCTGGTAAGCGTATTGTAATGGTTGTAGTTTAGGGTTTATACATACATATTTTATGTATGTGTAAACCTGATTATTCATATATGCATGTATATAT